ACGAATCGTTGTCAAAGATTTCAGATTTTGTAAAAATTTTGTTTCTATGAGTACGGGGAAAAAATCTTCATATGTGAGGCAACGTGGTGGAATCAGGCTCTCGTCAATTGTCGGGCATGTAGAGTTATTGGTATCATCTTAAAGCTTGTTCACTTGTCTTCATTTGGATGAAAGAAATATCCATTTATCTTGAATACAAGTCGAGATATTTGCAAAAGAAGGAGGTGGGGGTCATCTGTTTTCAGAGGTAAAATTAGTGAGAAAATAGTCGCCAAAGATTAGTTATTTCCTTAGCTTAAGAGTCTGTGGCAACTGAAAATTTACATTTATTGTACCTTTAATCAACGTTTTTCAGAAAAATCCACACAGAAATGAGTTTTTTTAATGGGCATGAAAGGCGTTGAACCAAAAAACAAAAATGTGATAAAAATTCACAAACCCGTGGAAAAAGTTTCCTCACTTTGATTATTTTGACGAGAGCCTGATTCCACCACGCTGCCTCACATATTTGTTTTTCCGTCTCTTCAAGTTTACTTCTCTGAACGTTTCTGTCATTGTTGTACACATTCCCCTACTAGTGGAGAATAGAAAACTCTTGTCTGCTTTGTTGCGTCATTAGGATCAGCTGACTTTGGTTTTGAAAAACACGAGCTTTTCCCCAGTACTATATTATTGTGATTGTTAATGTCTCTGTGCTCTGGTGTGGTTTGCTCCTTCTTTCCTATAAAAAAAAATCTATCGTCCCTATCTGCCTTCCTTCTTTTTTGTGTTTGTTACTCTCTTGTAACACCTCTAATCTTCGGCACTTATATGACCTTATTGTGTTGCAAGTGCCGTAAAACTCTTACAAGAAAGAGAAAGAAAGAATGTCTATGTGGGTGGTTGGTGGGTGCTCTGGTGTGGTTTGCTCCTTCTTTCCTATCAAACATCTATCGCCCTTATCTCTCCTTCTTCTATTTTATGTTTGTTACTCTCTTGTAACACCTCTAATCTTCTGGCACTCATATGACCTTATTCAGTTGCGAGCGCCGTAAAACCTCTACTAAAACTAAAAGACTCTGCCTTGGGTTTGTTTGGCTTGCCGGCCGGAAAGTCTGCCAAGCGCGCCACCGACAAACCATGACATTCTTGTTTATAAACTTTTTGATGACTCTGTCCTATCTTTTAGATAATATGAAATTCGGAACCAGAGATTTAGAATTAACAAAACGGCGTGCAGCTGACTATTTTTCATGTGGGGTTTTGAAAATCATTCTAAATAATTTAATATGTTTACCAAGAATGCATTGTGTAAGATGTCATTGTCACCAAGAGGGCAGACATGTGTTTATTTTAAGTGAGCGTGTAATATCTTTAGGCTCTCGTCAAGTTCAAATAATTTCGTGACCTCCGATACCGGACAAGAATGTTAAAGGAGAACCTCTCCGAGCCTGGCGTGAGACAACTGACACACTGGCAAAAAGAAAAAACCGCTAGTCTCTTGTTTTAGCTCAATGACAAAGATAACCGGAGACAGAGGAGTGACGTTCCAGTTTACACAAAGATTGTACATACAGAACAAGATAGTTCACTCAGCCAAAACAGTGTCCGCGGAAGTCCGCGCATTGGTTCAGATGGCGCTGCAAGTCTTTGTTTTGAAGCTCTCTTTCGTTTCGTTTCTCCAGAAGAGGAATAGGAATAGCATAGTTTGTTAGTTTCGCTTTTATTGTTTTTCACACAAGTAGGGTAACTCTGTTCGCAAAGTCCGCACTTTTACGAAGAGTGCGCCAACGAATTTTGAGGACACTCTTTTAATTGGCTCAAAGAGAGGAGTGAACTATCTTGTTATGTACGATCTTAGGTTTACGTCATGTTTTTGTCCCCGTGACCTTCGTTTTGCGGTCAACTCAGCGAACGTATTACGTCAGCTCTGACGTTTTTTCTTAGTGCAGGTGTTTTTGCGCAATGTCAGCCGCGTCTGATTCGTTACATGTTGGTAGACAATGTCCTGCTTTAGAAGTAATGGCTTTTTCAAAATGTGAGGCAGCGTGGTGAAATCAGGCGCTTGTCAAAATAATGAAATTGAAGAAACTGGCAATTTTCTATCAGTTTGGCAATTTTTATCGAATTTTTGTTTTTTGGCTTAACACCATAGTTATCCAATTAAGAACACACTAGTATGTGGATTTTTACTGAAAAACGTTCATTAAAGGCACAAAAATGTAAGTTTTCAGTGTTCATGTGCTATGAAGCTAAGGAAATAACCAAACTTTGACTGTCATTTTCTCGCTTGTTCTACTTTTGAAACTAGGCGACCCCACCTTCTTCAATCTCAAATATCTTAACTTCTTTTAAAGATAGATTGGGATATTTTTCACCAATAGAAAAACAACTGAACAACCTTTAAGATAATACCAATAACTTCACCGGCCCTAAAGTTGACGAGCGCCTGTTTTCCCCACCACCTGCTACAAATGTTTTCAGCGCAACTACTTCCTTGTCAGCCAGCCTCTGTTGGCAGGCAGGTTCAAAGCCCTTCTCTATAATATTACATAAAGTGTGTCGATGGGATTGTAAAAGCACCGACATTTAAAAAACCCAACTTCCACACCCAAACCATAATGACATTACGTTCTTGAATTGTCCGTTGATTGGTGGACGGGGTCTCGGGAGGGGAGGGAGCATCACGAATGCAACCCAAAACTGAGTATCACAAGAGACAGTCGAGAGCATCATCAAAAGCAACACCGGGGAACAGCGGCTGAAAGAATGGGCAATTAGCAAAACTGGAAGAACTGTATTTGCACACAAGATTGCTCCTTTCTCAAAGATTCACTAGAGTGGGGTCAATAATTCGTGGTGCAGCGTATTGTCAAAAATTTCCTAAACTCCCCCCAACAAAAAAGACTTTCCAGTTTTTGCACTATAATATGTATCAATTTGTCTGAACAGATCAATATTTTTGTCCACACTGTTAACTGTATTCTAGAAACGACCTTAATAAATACTTTTTTAAAATCCAAGTGGGTGGTTTCTATAGATTTTTAAAGGTTTATAGCTGGGGCAATATCACTTAAAAGCAAGCCCGTCGTGTTTTTCTAATCGTGCCATTGTACATTGTGAACGCATGTTTTGAGAACCTTAATTGCAAAAAAAGAGTTCACTATGAAATAAATTTCTTGTGACAAGTTTTGCCAGTAAAAAGTGTCATTACTGAGCTCTGACGTAGGTCATGTGCGTAAGCAAAATGTGTGTGAGGATCTCGAAGTGCTGTAAACAGCCTCATTTTTTTGCGTGACTGAGATGTATAGTATATGAATTTGTGAAGAAATGTTGTTGTTGTTTTTAACTAACCTCAATTGTTATGGGGAAATATTAATAAGTCAAGACAAATTGATATAAATTGCTGTGCAAAGTATGAGGGACATTGATTCAACCGTTAAAGGTATTTGAGGAAATGTTGCTCCGCGATATTTTAACCGCACTATAAACCCCTTGAGTAGAAGAGAACAGATCACTACAAATCTTCTGCCGTGAACACAGCACAGATCACTCAAATCCTTCATTAACAGGATACGCGACCTGCAAAGCACCTACCTGTACCGATCTTGGAGACAATTAATTAAATGAACAGGCTGTTGGAACGGATCTCTGGAATACATTTCTGTATTTAGAGCAGTGTCTTTACCCAACTTGCCCCCCC